TTTTGTCTTTTTGGAACTTCTTGTTTTGAACTTTTTGGTTCTAAAGTTATTACTGAACTGTCTTCCTTTCTCTGAACTTGTTTCATCTACAGTTGTTTCTTTTTTGGAACTTTTTGGTTTCAAAGTTGCTGTTGAACTTCTGGTCTTTTTAGAACTTTTTGGAACTTCCTCTTCTGAACTTGTTGCATCTGCAGTTGTTTCTTTTTTGGCACTTTTTGGTTCTGAAGTTATTGAACTTTTTGTCTTTTTGGAACTTCTTGTTTCTGAACTTTTTGGTTCTAAAGTTATTACCGAACTGTCTTCCTCTTCTGAACTTGTTGCATCTGCAGTTCTTTCTTTTTTGGCACTTTTTGGTTTCAAAGTTGTTGTTGAACTTCTTGTCTTTTTAGAACTTTTTGGTTCTAAAGTTATAACCGAACTGTCTTCCTCTTCTGAACTTGTTGCATCTACAGTTGTTTCTTTTTTGGCACTTTTTGGTTCTGAAGTTTTTGTTGAACTTTTTGTCTTTTTAGAGCCTTTTGCTTCTGAAACTGAGAAATTGTTTTCCTCCTCTAAACATTCTGGTTCTGGAGTAGTTGTTGATATTTTTTCCTTTTTAGAACTTTTAGGTTTCATAGCTGTTGAACTTTTTATCCTTCTAGAACGTTTTGGTCCTAAAATTGTATCCTGACTGTTTTCCGCATCAGAACTTTCTGATTCTGAAGATATTGTCAAACGTGTTACCTTTTTGGAACTTTTTGCTTCTGAAGTTGCAGCTGAACTTTTCGGTTCTAAAGTTGTGTCTTCGTCTTCTGAACTTGTTGCAAATGCAGGTGTTACTTTTTTTGAACTTTTTGCTTTTGAAGCTGTTGTCAAACGTTTCCCCTTTTTGGCTATTACAGTTTTCGGTTCTACAGTTGATGTTGAACCTTCATCTGCAGTCGATGTTGGACTTAGTTTCAGATTCAATTTCCACAAATTTGACTTTCTGGTATACTTTCTTCTTGGTTTTGGTTCATCCGGACACTCTTCACTGTCTGGACTGTCCTCTATCACTCGAAACAGTCTTTTTTGTGCAGATGATAGCAGTTGAGCCTTTAGATCTTCGTGCTGGTCAGTCGTATCTGATAATATTTCTTTTTTCTTGCTTCTTGATTGTTTTTTGCTTGTTTTCTCTTTTTGGCTATCAGCTGAAAAACATATTTTAAAACATATTTATCAAGCAACTAGGTGTGAGTGGCATTTTGCCTTGAACCAAATTGCTTGAACTTATATATAAATGATATCCTACTTTAACTAATTTTTTTAAATTATACCATTCTGCATATGACTATTTATTATATTTATGTTAGTACCTTAAATATTTGTTTTAATTAATATATAATATTATATATCAAATGAAAGCTAATAAAATTATCTATAAATCTGTATATAACAATTTATAACAATTGGAACAAAATTATTGTAAAAAAAATGCTGAAACTTTAAATAATGACGTCATTTTTATCTTATGTCTGAAGTCAAACATTTATTTGAAAATGTTTGCTGGTTACATTTTTATATTTTGATCGATTTTTCAAATAATTTGTTCTAGTGTGTATATATTATTATATATCATTGAAAGGGTAATTAAATTATCTATAAATCTGTATATAACAATTTATAAAGTTTTGAACAAAACTTTATGGAAAAAAAATGTTTAAACTATTTTTAAAATATTTTCATGTTACGTTTTTTTATTTGCACGTAAATTTTGTTATAAATAATTTAATTATAACAATAGTGTTATATATTGTTAGAAAGCTATTAAAATTGTCTACAAATCTGTATATAACGTTTAATAACTTTTCAAACAAAATTATGTAAAAAAAATCTGTAAATTTTAAATTTTAGTATCCAGTTATTTGTTCAGCTATGCAATACGTGCTGATAATATTTAATTCCTGAATTTGTTATTAATAATTTTATTCCAACAGTTACAATCTAAAAATGTATATTTGTACACAATATAATTGGCTTTGTATTGATATATAATAATGCAATAAAATTCAATCAAATTTTGTAACAAATAATGCAAATGCAAAAAAGTGTGACCGAACAAATAAATTGTTGATATTAAATTGCAAAGTTTAAGTAATTTTTGTCAATGATTTTGTTCCAAAACTTTTAAAACTGTAAGTACAGATTTATACACATTTTAAGAAAATTTTCAGTGATATATAATAATAAATAAATGTTTCAACAGATTTTTTGGCAAATAATGCAAATGTAAGAAAGTGTCACCAAAAATCATTAATATTAGGTTGTCAAATATCTCCCTTCCGCTTTTTTGTATGGTTTATAATACAAAAAGGCGGAAGGAAGATATTTGACAACCTAATATATAATAAAAATTTCAAAATTTAAATGATAGTTAAAATAATATTGTATATAGTTAAGAACTTAATAAAATTATCTACAAATGTGTTTATAACGTTTAATAACTTTTCAAACAAAATTAAATATGATAAATGTGTAACATTTAAATTTTAGTATCTCGTTTTGACTTAAATTTTCAATAATTAATTCAAACTTGTATATATTATTATATTAGGTTGTCAAATATCTCCCGTCCGCCTTTTTGTATTATAAATACATATAAACCAATAGCAAAAAAGCGGAAGGGAGATATTTGACAACCTAATATATCATTAAAAAGATAATAAAAATACCTACAAAATTAAAAACTAAAACTCACCCGAATTTTTTCGACCTTTTCTTGCTTTCCTATCCATTTTTAATATTTCTCTCCTATCAACAAATTATCTTGTTTCAAACAAATGATGAATTTTCTTTAATCGATTTCTGCAAAAATTGAATTCCAAGATGCGTCTCACTCTAGAAAACGAAAAATATATAAATAAATTTATACTTAAATATATATATATATATACATATATATATATATATTTATATATATTTATATATATATATATATATATAAGAGAGAGACTAATCGTGTATATTTTCTCAAAGTACTAATAGTTCAAATATATATACTAGCTGTACTATATATAGTATAAGGTTGTAATTTTAGTATGTTGTTGTCTAAAGTATATATTTTACTAATACATAATAAAATTAGACAGTTTGAATTATTTTTTTTAAATTATTAATATTTGTTTATAAATTTAATCGCCTGTAGTATAACTTAGTATGTAGTAGCAATGTTAGTTTAAAAATTTATACTGGCTGTACTATATATAGTTAAGGAATGTTATTTTAGTATAGTATGTACTAAAATATGTACTATAAGTGTACACACTTAAATTTTATTGTTTTGGAAGAAGTTTGTGAAGTTTTTTACAATGTTCTGAAATTTTGTCCGCCTGTGAAAAAATCACTTGCAAATTATATATTGTTAGAAAGCTAATAAAACTGTCTACAAATCTGTATATAACGTTTGTCTAATGTAATGTAAAATTATCTAATACCAACTCGGTATACCTTTTTTTCGTTCTCATTACTCTGTCATTGAAGCTAGGTAATGATTAATATGATATTATCTAATAACAATTTGGTATTGTTAGCAAAATATATTACATGTATATATATATACATGTTCGATTAAAATCTAGACAGTATATACCTCGGTTCGGTTTGTCATTGTCATTGAAGGTTAGTAAACTCTAATTTCTCTTTTTTCTAATTTAAAATCAGCTTTTAGTTTACAATGTACATCTAATATGTTTTAAAAGACTGTGATTAGATGTATATTAGATAAAAAAAATAAAATTGAACCCAAAACATGAAAAAAAGCATCAAATCAAGACAAATTTTAAAAAACTACTTCTATCCTTTAAGCAATTGGGCTTAAACTTTATCAATATATATATATATATATATATATATATATATATATATATATATATATTTATTACCAAGCTATACATCAGCTTGATTACACTGAAATATCATACCAGTCGTTACCTAACCTTCAATGACAAACAGTATAAAAGAAACCATACTTTGTACTTATACACTGAGCATGTACTTTACTTTAAACTGTCAAAGAGGTTACTAAAAAATGTATAAAAGTTATTATAATTCAAACAATATACTTGTTACAAACCAAAACAAAGTCAAGAAGATTAGTACTACTTTACTTTGTAAAAATTTAACATACTCATTATTAAAAACTAATAAAAACTGTATCAATATATCAATAATTAGACTCAAGAGGCTTCTAATAAGGCTTGTATATACTTATCAAATCGATTTGAGTCTTTTTCAGTACAAACTCATTTTCTTTGACAGTTTATTCGAAGAATCCTTAGTTTAAAAAAAATCTCTTTACCTCATCTCCAGACTAAGAACTCCCGGAGCACCCCGCAGCCAAATGGAAGCTCTTTGATCTAAAACCATAAAAAACACAATTACTATACAAATCATACAAAAGAAAATTGTGCACTTTTAGCGCGAGTTTGAGGTTATGCACAAAAACTTTGATTTCAGCAATTCCAAGCAATATTTGATAAAACTACTAGTTACTTTTACCAAAATAAGTATGTTTTATATATTTCTACCCACAATTTTCTACTTTTACAGTTTTTAGCGCGTTTTTTAGGTTACATAGTCCTTCGAGCCAAAAACTTCAATTTCATCAATTCCAAGTAATATTTAATAAAACCAATACTTACTTTTGTTAAAGCAACTAAACTAGTACGTTTTGCGTATTTTTAACACTAACTTTGCACATTTATTGCGTTTTTTGTGAAAATAACATCCGAGTGCACTTTTGTGCGTCAACTAGTTACAAAAACATTTTTGTTGAAGGTTGTTAAGACAGGCGCAGACTTGGGATTGAAGATTGTAATATTATTATTAGTGTTGTAAATGATTATTTGTACATTTTTGTTACAAATTAAATGTTTTTGTTAATTAATAAACAACTTTGTTTAGTATTTTTAAGCGATTTGTGCAAAAATAATAGTAATAATAATTTTGTTTGTAGGTTAGGATAGATGCAGACTTGCGACTAAAGTCGTGGTGGACGAAATTATTATTATTATTACTAAATTTTGATTTATAAGGTATTTTTAAACGCTCTAATATCAAAACAGATATTTTTATTCACTCACAACAAAATTTTAACTTATATTTTACTTTGACTTTACAAAACGTACACAAATTTGAAAAAATGTCATACTCTTGTACAACATTGCTTCCGCCGCTCTTTGTACAGAACTTGTATTATAAAAACGGCGGTAGCAAAGTTCTACTGACGAGAGTCCTTTTTTCCTATTAAATTTTTGTTTGCTCGTCAGTAGAGTCCTTTTTTATTGTTATAATTAAATAAGTTCTTTTTGTAATTTATTTTCAGTTAGCTCGTCAGTAGAGTCCTTTTTTCTTGCCTTCTTCAATTTCAGTCAGTAGATTCTCTTTTCCATTTCCACTTCTAATTTAAGTTTGCTCATCAGTAGAGTCATTTTTGTAATTTATTTTCAATTTGCTCGTCAGTAGAGTCCTTTTTTGCCTTTTTCAATTTCAATCAGTAGATTCTCTTTTCCATTTTTTGTTTATTTTTCTTTTCTCTACATTTAGTTTGCTCGTCAGTAGAGTCCCCTTTTTTATATTTTCAATTTGCTCGTCAGTAGAGTTCTTTTTAATTTTTCTCGTAAGTAGAGTTCATTTTTTTATTCATAGATTACTCGTCAGTACAGTTTTTTTTCTTGCTTTGTTTCTGGACTGCTCTTCAGTAGTTTCTCTTCGTTTTGGTAAGTAGTCCCTTTTTAAATTTGCTCGTCAGTACAGTTCTTTTAAGTTTTATTTGCAGTTTGCTCATAGTAAAGTCCTTTTCGTTAAATTTGCTCGTCAGTAGAGTTCATTTTTCTTAAATTTTCTGATTTCAGTAGTCAATTTTTCTATTATTTTCAATTTGCTTGGCAGCAAAGTTTTTTAGTTTTTTATTAGTTTGCTCGTCAGTAGAGTCCCTTTTCCTTTTATTAAATCAAGTCCATTATTCACACAAATACAACTTCCCTAGAATACCATTTAAAACTAATTTGTTTTGAATCTCCCGACATTTAAATAATTTCAAACTTCCCGCCAACCATTTCGAAATCCTCAATCCTCGATCCTCGCCATCTTCGCACTGACAAACTGTCAACAGCCATAACCACCATTTAATTTTGAACGTTGCCTCATATTTGCGTTACAAATACAAATTTCTTTGAAACAAAATTTTACATTTTGAAACTAAAATAAAGCTTAACAATTTGCAAAAACTTGTGGTTGAAAAACAAAAGGCGTTGGATAAACTCCGAAAGAGAAAGGTAGGAATAAAATAAAACTTAGTAAGATATATTAAAGATTATAGATTACTAGACTTGTGTATAGAAAGTAGTTCAGTTATAATTTCTTACTGACTGATGCTAAGAGTTAAATTCATGGCTACTGTGCTAAATTAAAACATAACCATAATGGTATATATTATTTTAAAGTAGTATATATTATTTTAATACTGTATCTATTAATTAACCTACAAATCTTTCACATTTCCTATATTAATTTCATAAAATTTTCTATCCAAGATGATTGAAGACAGGAATTATCGAGGTTACCTTATTATAAATTTGAAACTTTCAAATTTGAATGATCTATTGGAATAAAATTCAATGACTAAATTGTAATACTCGCTGATTTTCATAAAATATATTTATTCGGTATAACAAAATATAACATGATAGTTTAACTACTCTACTTTTGATTTTTTTACCCTGTGTTACTTATAGTATAATATAACATTTATAAAGATAATATAAATAGAATATTTATGAATTTATAGATCTATAATCTAAAAAAGAGACTATTAAAAATATTAAGAAAGGACTCTACTGCCGAGCAAATTAAATTGTAAACTAGAAATAAAAAAGAACTCTACTGACTAGCAAATTCAATTTTTTTATAAATATAGCAAATTCAGATTTTTTTTTAAATGCCATTTTAAAATAAAAGGGACTCTACTGACGAGCAAACTGAAAATAAAAGACAAAAGGAACTCTACTCACGAGCAAATTCTGTCATTTTTAGTAAAAAAGGACTCTACTGACAAAGCAAATTCAGACATTAGTTTATATATAGATCTATAATCTAAAAAAGAGACTATTAAAAATATTAAAAAAGGACTCTACTGACGAGAAAAATAAATATTGAGTTAGAAAATTAAGAAGGGACTCTACTGACGAGCAAGTTAAAATTTATACCAGAAGACAAAAAAGAACTCTACTGACTAGTAAATTCAATTTTTTTTTATAAATATAGCAAACCGACCAATTTCACGATTTTTTTTAAATGCCATTTTAGAATAAAAGGGACTCTACTGACTTATATATAATATATTATATAGAATATGATAATAATAGAATAATATTATATAGAATATGAATAATGTGTAAACTCAAAAAATTGAAAGAAATTTTTGACGAGCCGTTCAGAAACAAAACAAAAAAGAAAGGACACTACAGACGAGCAAATTGAAAATAAAAAGTTCGACACAAAATATACATTAAAATTGATAATTAATAAACAATAAAATAACCTGATTGGAATGAACAATTTTTAGAAAAAACATTTTTTCAAAAAAAAAACATTTTTCAAAGTAACTTCAGAATTTTTTAGAAAAAAGTTTTTTTAAAAAAAAACTACTAACAATAAAAGTTAGTCAGTAGACCCTAAAGGTCATTTTTCAGTAGAGTCCTCCTCTAGTCAGTAGAGTTCCTTTTTTTTTGAAAAAATAAATATCTGAATTTGCTCGTCAGTAGAGTTTTTTTTTTTTAACACAATATGTCGGAATTTGCTCGTCAGTAGAGTTCCTTTTTTATATTCTAGTTTATAATTTAGTTTGCTCCTCAGTAGATTTCTTTTTTTGAAAAAATGTATAAATTTGCTCATCAGTAAAAAAATGTTTGAATTTGCTAGTCAGTAGTGTCCCTTTTTTCTGATATCTGGACTTGCTTGCCAATAATTTTTCTTTTAAAGAAATGTTTGAATTTGTTTTGTTAGTAAGGTTACTTCTATCTAGTAAAAAATATTGGAATTTGCTCGTCAGTAGAGTATCTTTTTTATCATCAATTTTGCATTTTAATTTGCTTGTCAGTAGAGTTCCTTTTTTATCTCCTAGTTTATATTTTAATTTGCTCATCAGTAGAGTTTCTTTTTCTCTATGAAAAAATAAATATCTGAATTTGCTCATCAGTAGAGTTCCTTTTTTACTAAAATAATAACAGAATTTGCTTATTAGTAGGGTTTCCTAATTTGTTACACACATCAGTAGAGTTCCCTTTATCCTAAAAATACATAAATTTGCTCATCAATAGAGTTCCTTTTTCTTAATTTTTTATTTGCCCGTCAGTAGAGTTCTTTTGTTTACTTATGAAAATGCTTTTTTTTTCTTAAAATGCCTGTATTTGTTGCTTGGCAATAGAGTTCCCTTTTTCCTAAAAATACACAAATATGCTTGTCAGTAGAGTCTCTTTTTCATCTTCTATAAAAAAAATAAAGATTTATTTAGTATAACAAATATAAAATATATTACGCTCTCCCAAGAGACAGAATTAAAACAAAATATTTGTGTGGAAAATACATATAAGTAGAACTCGTTTGCTAATTGATATTAAAAAAGAAGAGACTCTACTGACAAGCAAATTCATATATCTTTATTAGAAAAAAGTAACTCTATTTCCAAGCAACAAATACAGGCAATTTAAGAGAAAAAAGACATTTTTATAAGAAAAACCTAATGATTCAGAGATTTGTTTTTTTGTGATTAAATTGCCAATAAGTTTGTGCGTTTGTCTGTTTGAATGATCGGTGGGGTCGTTAATTAAAGGTTTATAAAAAGTTTCGTTGTTTAATAAGTCGTAGGTTTTTGAAAAATAATCTGACCTGTCTAAAACCACAGTAAGATTGCCCTTATCAGCGTAATTTTAAATCTCTAACAATTTCTAAATTTAAAGGAACGGAACTAAAATTAGAATTATTTGATTAGAATTATTAGGATCTAAATTTTCTTTCTTTATCTGGGTTATTCAATTTTTTTTAAACCAAACTGCAAATTACTACCTTAATGAAATTAAAGTTGAGGAAAAGAAAATTTAGGACTAAGGGCGAAGATATAGAATAGTTTTAGAGCCATTTATCTATTAAATTTTCACTTATCAACGATACAATAGATTTATTACAATTATCCAAAAGCTTATTAAATTTTTTCATACGAGCCAATTTTAATTTTGTGGAAATTCTGTCATATTTCAAAGTTTCAATTTCTAGAAAAATTTCAAAATGAGAGGTTCCATAATAGAAGTTAAAACATTTTTTAAATTTCCAATTTTAGATTAAAAAAAAGGAAATGTAGGAAAAACTACTTTTAATTTGAAGTGAAATAGCTTCAAAAATAATGTTACATAACTTTTTGTTAAAGGAAGGAGATGTTAAACGTAGCATTAGACAAAATTAATTTTAACACTCTACTGACTATCAAATTTAGATGGAATCAAAAAGAACTCTACTGACGAGCAAATTTTAATTTCGAGGTAGAAGATTAAAAAACGAATTCTGAGTCAAATTATGAATTATAAGAGAAAAAAAGGAATCTACTGAGGAGATTATGGAACATTTTGTTAACTTCATTAATATCTATTGACGTACCTCATCTCTAATTGCTCGTTTGTTGTCTTTAATTGTACTCTCTACAATATTCGTCTCTATATGACATTGCACATTACATTGTGATTGAAAGTGGAAAAGGCAAAGGACTCTACTGACAAGAAAATTGAATCTTGTCTTTCTAAATCATCATTTTTCAACAATTACTTTTTAACAAAAAGAACTCTACTGACGGGCAAACTTTAAATTTTATCTACTGATGAGTAATCTTTAATTTTGAAATGGAAAATTATCAGGCAAATGCAGATAATTTTGAATAGTATATTTTCGAAGGGACTCTACTGACAAGCAAACTAAATATAAAATGAAAAGGACTCTACTGGCAACCAAATTAAAAATAAAAGAAAAAGGGACTCTACTGACGAGCAAACTGTAAATAAAAATATATCATAAAAAATGGATTCTTTTGATGAAATAATTAAAAAAAATATTTCAATTGTTTTTGAAATTCAGTTTCCTTGTCAGTAGAGTTCCTTTTTTTTCAAAGGACATCTTACTAATAATAATTTACTGAATTTCTCGTCAGTAGAGTCCTTTCTTTTCTAAAATGATATCATACCAATATTGATTTGCTGACTTTGCTTGCCAGTAGAGTTCCATTTTGCTAAAACAGTCTAAATTTCCTCGTCAGTAGAGTTCCTTTTTTTTTGAAAAAATAAATATCTGAATTTGCTTATTAATAGTCTTTCCTGATTCATCCTTCGGGCTTTTATCTTCGGAATTTTGTTCAAGATCATCTTCCTTCGTCTTTGGTTCAAAATTACAGTAGCAAATAAGTTTTACTTCAATCGCGTGTGATCCTTACGCGCACTCTTTTTTTTATCTTCTACTTCAAAATTAAAATTTGCTCGTCAGTGGAGTTCCTTTTGATTCCGTCTAAATTTGATAGTCAGTAGAGTTTTTTTCCTCATTATGAATCAGTACAAATACTCTAGAGTTGTGCCTCAAGAAGTTCTTCTTCAAAAATTTAGCTTTCATTTGTAAAATATAAATTTGTCAGACTTTAATATAACTTTTTTACCCTGTGACACTTACAATATAAATATAATTTTTTTAATATATGGGAAACGATGTATCCACTTCAGCAGCCCAGGCGTGTAGCCCCCCTACTAAATCGTATAAAGGAATTTTAACATCCAACGTCTCTTTAAATGCTTCACAGCCCTTTGCGAATCGTTTCCTCTTCGACAGACAACATACACTAAAATTGAAAAGACAATTACACTAAATTTTAACATTCTCTTATTTATTTAAATTTATGTTATTATTTATTATTATTACTAGATGTTAAATTATTTAACTGTTGTAATAAATATTGTAATTAAAAATATATATATATATATATATATATATATATATATATTTCGAATGATTATTATTATGATTTTTATGTTTACCTTCATCGTTATTATTTAACAAATTGTTTAATAAATCGGTTTGTTTATTTTGTAGTACATCATCGATTGGAATGTTTATAGATTTTTGTATCTTGCACATTTCGAATTCAGAAGTCGCACGAACATCAATTAGTACATGTTTCGATTCTGTTGTTTTCTGTTTATTATTAAAATCGATTACTGTAACTCGTTCATCATTTGATAAAATTTTTAATTTTGGATCCTAAAAAAAATTAATATTAGATATATATAAATACACATTATCAGCCTGAAATAAAAAACGAGAAGTAATTTTACTATTACGTAACGTTTCGATACTGTATGTGTGTCATCGTTCTCAACTATCAGTTCAATAAAAAAATATTTTATACGATCAAAGTGTAAAGAATTTAAAATAACAATACAGGAAAAAACAGCTTACACAATTTTAAAGACAAATAAAAAACAAACCAATAAAATAAAATAATTAACTAAAAATTAATAAATTACTAATAAATTAATAAATTAATAAATTAGTTAGTCACGTGATTAACGAATTGTAAATGCAAAATCACGCCATATAGAAACAAGGGGGTTCACAAATGTAGATCCAGAAACGAATTTTGGGAAATGCTCGAGGTTGGAAGGAAAAACAAACAAAAATAAAAGCAATGTATTAAAAATATTAAATAATAAACGAAATAAATTACCAAAAAATCTAAATATTGAAAAACAAAAATAACAAAATTTTTCCGCTTCCACTGACGAGCAAAAAAAATGAAAGAGAAAAGGACTCTACTGTCGAGCAAATTTGACATGTAGATAAAAAATTCGAAAAATGGACTCTACTGCCAAGCAAAATATAGTTTTCGTTAATGAACATAGGACTCCCCTGATGAGCAAAATGCAAACTGCATACCTCAGTAAAACTCTACTGACAAGCAAATTAATATATCAGTTTATTTTTCGTAAAAAAAAGAAAAGAGACTCTACATATAAGCAAACTAAAAAAGAGACTCTACTGAAAAGCTAACTAAAAAAAAGGACTCTACTAACGAGCAAACTGAAATAAGATTTAAAAAAAGAAACACTACTGGTGAGTGAACTGAAATGGAGATAAAAAGAACTCTACCGACCAACAAAATGAAAAAACCGAGAAAGTAAAATCTTTACTCATGAAAAAAAATAAAATAAAGGGACTCTATTGCCAAGCAAATCAGTAAAACAAGAGCAAAAACAAATTTAGTTACGAGAGAATTAAATTTTAAACCAACGAAAGAAAGGAACTCTACTGACGATCAAACTGAAAAATCATAACAGACGAAAAAGTCTACTGATAAACGAAAAATTGTAGAAAGAGGCTTTACTGACGTACAGAAAAATAATGAAGGAACTCTACTAACAAGGAAACGAAAGTCATTAGAGTTCTTGCCTCCTCAAAATCTTCATTAAAGTTTCTTCTTCTTTAATTTTTTAGTGTGTTCGCTAGTAGAGTCCCTTTCACAAACTTAATTTCTAAATTTGCTCATCAGTAGAGTTCCTTTTTCCAATCTAATATTTCAATCTTTTTTTATAAATTTGCTCGCCAGTAGAGTTCTTCTCCCCAATTCATTTTTTTGTCTAGTTTTCTAGATTTGCTCGTCAGTAAAGTCCCTTTTCTAATCCACCAAATTAATATTCAATCTTTTTGTAACTAGTGTTCTTATCTCAGATTCTACCTAGATATTAAATTTACCCGTCAGTAGAGTCCACTTTTGTAATTTTCTATCTAGATATTGAGTTTAATCCTCAGTTGAGACCATTTTTACTGAAAAAGGAGCCTTACTGTCGGAAAGACATAGAAAATTACAAAAGTGGACTCTAGTGACAAGCAAATTAAAAACAAAGCCGGAAAAAGGACCCTACTGACAATTAATATCTAGATAGAAAAAATTGGAAAAGGGACTCTACTGACAAGCAAATTTTATTTTTTGCATATATGTGTCTGTAAAATAAAAAGAACTCTACTGACAAACAAATTAATATATCAGTTAATTTTTTTTTCTTTAATTTTATAATAAGAGAACTCTACTGACGACCAAACACGATTTAAACAAATAAAATAAAACTCTACTGACGATCAAACTGTAAACTACAATTTTAAATGATAAAAGAGCACTTTTTAGTTGCATTGTTTATAACTTCCGAACCATTGAATTAATTTGAATGATGTCTTCGGCAAAATTGTGCAAAATTAAATAATAAACAATATTGTCTTACATCATAATGCCCTACAGCGGTATACTCTAAAAACGCTTTTATCAAAATTATCAAATATTACGAGTATGAAGTATACTAGTTTCCATACAAACTTTACATTCGTCCAAGATTTCTTCTAAGTGTGCGAAGTGACATCTTGGTATGGAATTTAGTATACTTAGTACATTGATTTAGTCTATTGCTTGTAACTTCTAAACCATACGTTTAATATGAATGATGCTTAGGGCAAATTTGTTCAGAATTAAATTATAAACAATATTGTCTTATATTATAAGGGCCCTACGGCAACTCGGTATAATCTCAAAATGATTTTGAAAATTTATTCGGTGTACAACTTTGCTCCCGCCATTATTGTAAAGGATTCTCATAGTAAAACCGGCGGAAGCAAAGTTGTACACTTAACATTGAACACAAATTATTGTGTTTTGTTTCGTCGCTTGTAACTTCCAAACCATTCGATTAATATGAATGATGCCTTCGGCAAATTTATATAAAATTAAATTTATAAACAATATTGTTTAATATCATAATGCTCTACAGCAACTCGGTATACTCTAAAATCTAACATAAATATTCATATAAATTTATTACCTTATCCATGGCCTTTGCTCCACAAAATTGCTCATAGTCAATCAAAGTTGTAATAGTTTTGTTTTCGGAACACACAGCACAATCTTTAGATTTTCCTCGCAATTTTATATTGCGAAATGCTGAATCAGCAGCATAATATAGCAATAAGCGACCACTCAAAGTCGGTTTGTCGGTTATTAATTTTATTGCTTCCACTGCTTGCAAAACTCCTATTACCCCAGGCACTGGTAAATGAAAAAGAACTAGTTGTAAGGGTCATTTTTCCTTAAGGCAAGTTGCCAAAAGTGTCGATAATCGATAAGAATTGAGTTTTAACATTGTAATAATAAATATATGCAAGTTTTGTTTAAATTTTATGAGTGCTTACGGTGTTGTCCGAACCTAACACCAAGGTTTCTCATACGTTTTTGCTTAGGTTCGGAATGCATGGTAAGCGTTACGTCAATATTGTTTTAAATCAAATGTATTTATTAAAACGGGATTATATACGAAAAAAGGACTCTACTGACGAGCAAACCGAATTTTAAAAAAAGGTTTTATACGAAAAATGGACTCTACTGACGAGCAAGCCTAATAAAAAGGAAATTATATGGGAAAAAGGAACTCTACTGGCGAGCAAATTCCGACATATTTTGTAAGAGCAAAATATAAGCAAATTCATATAACAATTTTTTCAAGATAAAAAAGGACTGTACAAAAGAGCAAATTCAGATAATTTTCTTAAGATAAAAAAAGGACTCTACTGACGAGCAAAATCCGATATTTTTATTTAAAAATAAGAACTCTACTGACGAGCAAATTCAAATAACATTTTTTCAAGATAAGAAAGGACTCTACTGACAAGCAAATTCCGATATTTTTATTTGAAAAAATAACTCTACTGACGAGCAAATTCAGATATTTTTTTTTAAATAAAGGAACTCTACTGACGAGCAAATTCAAATAACAAGTTTTTCAAGATAAAGGAACTCTACTGACGAGCAATTTCCGATATTTTTTTTAAAAAAAATAAGTCTACTGACGAGCAAATTCAAATATTTATTTTTTCGAGATAAAGGAACTCTACTGACGAGCAAATTCAGATAACTATTTTTTCGAGATAAAAATGGCCTCTACTGACGAGCAAATTCAGATATTTATTTTAAAAAAAAACAGGAACTATACTGATAAGCAAATTTAGAAACTTAACTCCAATACTTTTTAAGACAAATGTATTTATTTATTGTGTAAATAACAAACTAAGTGTAAGTTATTGTGTAAATAACAACTAAGTGTAAAGGGCATTTTGCCTTAGGGCAAGTTACATGCACTTTCCGATATGTGTAAAAATTGATTTAGTCAACAAGAAATTAATTCTTCATAAATTGAGATTTCGTTTGCTTGTCAGTAGAGCCTCATTTTTGTATATTATGAATTTTTTCAAAAATTCAGTTGGCTAGCCCAGTTTGTATTTTTTTTCTGAAATTCAGTTTTCTCGACAGTAGAGTCCCTACTTTGTATCTATTTTTTAATTCAGTTTGCTAGAGCCCCTTTATTGTATCTATTTTTTTTCTTGCAAATGGGACTCTACTGACAAGCAAACAAAATTTAAAAAAAGAGATTGAATACCACAAGAAACTCAATTAACAAGCAAACTGAATTTGAAATAAAAGAAAACGAAAAATGGACTGTACAAACGAGAAAAAACCGAATTTAAAAAAATGAAATTAGCAAGAACAAACTCTACTAACGAGCAAACTAAAAATAAAAATAAAAAGGAGTCCTTTTAAAGGACACCACTAAGAAGCTAATTAAAATATAATTAAGAAAAGAATGAACTCCACTGACGAGCAAACTAAAAGTAGAAGAAAACAAGAGATACTACTAATGAGCAAACTAGAATAAAAATAAAAATGATCTCTACTGATGAAGAAAAAAGTTTATAAAGTAACTCTACTGACAAGCAGACTAAATACGAAAGAAAGAAGAACTCTACTAATGAGCAAACTAAGAAAGATAATTAAAAAAGGATTTTGCTGACATGAAAAAAACTAAAAAAAGGGACTCTACTGACAAGAAAACTGATAAATAAAATAAAGAAGGACTCTACTGACGAGCAAACTAAGTATTTAAAAATAAAATTCAAGATAAACATAATAATATTAGACGAAAAAAGAATTCTACTAACCAGCAAACTAAAATCAAGTAAGAGAAAATGACTCTACTGACGAGCAAACTAAAATGCAATAAAAAAGAAAAAGGACTCTCCTGATAAACAAACTAAATTTTTAAAAATGAAACTCAAAAAGGACTCTACTGACAAGCATAATAAAATTAGAAGGAAAAAGACTTTACTACCAAGAAAATTAAAAATTAGAAGGTAAATGAACTCCACTTGCAAGCAAACTAAGTATAAAAATAAGAGGGACTTTACTGACGAGCTAATCAAAATAAAATTAAAGGCGATTCTACTGACGAGCAACTTAAAAACCAAAAATAAAAGCGAGTCTACTGACGAGGAACTTAAAAACCAAAAATAAAAGGGAGTCTATTGACGAGCAACTCAAAAACTAAAAAAAGGGAGTCTACTGACTAACAAACTAAAAACAAAAATAAAAAGGATTCTACTGAGGAACAAACTAAAGTTTAATTTGAAAAGAGACTCTACTGACAAGAAACTAAAAATAAAAATAAAAGCAACTCTACTAATTATAAAGAAACAGACGTAGGTAGATTTAAAGACAGTTAGAAAGAGATACATTTTTTTACTTAATTAACAAATATACTTGTTAACATAATTTTATACAAGTTATTACATAACTTAACCAGTTAATACATAACTGGTTAGATTATATATTAATATACCATAAATAAACAAGTATAAATAGATGGCAAACACGCGGCCGCTTTCAAATTACATTAATTTTAATGCTTTCAGCATATCACAGAGGTTGCCACCAAATGTAGCACATAAACTTACCCGTAATACCATTTACCCATAATTTTATTTAATTTTCTAATATAAAGTTCAATTCCAGATAAGATTTATATAAATATATAATATAGAAAAGATAAACCCGATCATTAATTTGACTAAATGAAATGATAGCAAAATACACGCGTATGAAATAATATTTTCAAACAAAATCACAAATGTGTAGTAAAAATATATAATAACATTGATATCATTCAAAATAATATATTACAATATATAAAATTGGTACTTGAACGTTTAAAGTACGTATGCTATATCTAGAAAGGCTTTGCTTCAAAACAAATGCTGAATTTGAAGCGCACTAGCACTATTTGTGATATGCGAAAAACACTCATATCAGAGTACAGGGCGTTTGTTTCATGTTTACTCCCATGATCTAAGTCAATTATCTCACCTGTTGGTATAACACCTCCGTCTCCGCAATTCGTAACAGTTTCAGGAGGAGGCGGTACAGGAAATATACACCTACAACCGACAACAAATCGATAACTCTAAATCAAAATTTATAATATGTCCATTACCATACCGATAGCAAGGTCCATTCCTATAACCGTAGACAGTGAGCTGTCCCTCCATTTGTAAAGCACTTCCCGATATCAAAGGACGTTTTAGTAGAATGCAACAATCGTTTAGTAGATAACGAGTCGCCACATTGTCTGTACAATCAAGTACCAGGTCGTAGTCTTTGATAATATCCATTGCATTGGTGCTTGTCAATAGGGTTTCGTGTTTAATAAAGTTGGTTGTGGAATTAAGTCTGAAAAATATAAATAATTAACAAATTTTCTTTATCATTCAATAATACCTATTATCTAATACATCTAAATGCATCTATTCACTAAATGTCTTTAATTTTCACCTGCTTAAACTATTGATTGCAGAATCCACTTTACTCCTTCCCAGACTTGACTCGTTATGCAACAATTGTCTGTGCAGGTTAGTTATTTCAATAACATCATGATCTAGTAGTCCGATAGTACCTTAAAACATAGAGCCCCATTATAACCTCATCTATCAATTATTACCTACTATCTATTATCAATCTATTATTACCTACGCCTGCACCAGTCAAATACATTGCAGCAGGACAACCCAGTCCTCCTGCACCAACGATTAAGACGGAGGTCTTTTTAAGTTTCAATTGGTTTTCCATACCGTGATCAGGTACCAGGATTTGTCGACTGTATCTTTCTATATCAGATTTGTCTAGAACCAGAGATTTTGCATCTTCTAACATCTTAAATAGAAAATTGTATGGAATTAATATCAGAAATGTGAAGGATTTGTAGGTTATGTTTTGATTTAACACACTAAACATGAATTTAATTCTGTTAGTAGGAAATGGTAACTGAATTTACTATATATACACAATTTTTATTTTATTTTGTATTTAATTATCTTGTATCAGCTTGAAAAGAAAATTGCATGGAGTTAATATCAGAAATGTGAAGGATTTGTAGGTTATGTTTTAATTTAACACATTAAACATGAATTTAATTCTGTTCGTAAGTAATTTTAAATTAAATTGCTGTCTATACATAAGTCTGGGTTTTATATTAGTTTAAAATGCATATAAATAAATTTCTATTTTATAAAATTTGTTACTAAGATTTTTTCGTACCTTTTTCCTTCGGAGTTCATTCAACGCCTTTTCTTTTTCAAACAAAAGTCGTTGTAAATCGTGAACTTCATCTTGCACTTTTTTAATTTCTTCATCTAGCGACATTTCACGTTAAAACTGTAGATTTATGTTTAAAAAACTAATTAAAAATGTAAAATGTAAAAACACATAAAGATTTGCCGGCAGAAGTACGTGGAGGTTATGTTTTTGACAGTTTGACAGTTCAAATATGTCGTAGATTTCAAAATGGTTGGCGGGAAATTCAAAACAATATTTTTAAACCAAAGTCAATGATTTTTTTACTGCATTTTTTTATTTTCATCATCAAGCGACATTTTAGCTTAAAATTTGCAAATTTCTGTTCAAAAAACTAAATTAAATTAACTAAAAGACTAAAGTTTGTCGGCAGAAATACATTGAGGTTATGTTTTTGACAGTTTTGACAGCGATTTCAAAATGATTGGCACGAAGTTTGAAATGATTTAATTGGCGGTAAATTCAAAACAAATTAGTTATAAATGGTTTTCTGGGCTTAAAGAAAAATACATGTGTGTAAATAATGGACTTAAATAAATAAAACACAAAAGGGACTCTACTGACGAGCAAACTAAAATAAAAGCAAAAGGAACTCTACTGACGAGCAAAATTATATAAAAGCAAAAAGGACTCTACTGTCAAGCAAATTAAAAATGAATGGTACAGAAATTCTACTGACAAACAAAATTAAAATAAAGAGAAAGGACTTAATTAGCCACTTACAAAGTAAAAAAGGACTCTACTGACGAGCAAGTATAATATCTAGATAAAAAATTAGAAAAAAGTGGACTTAACTAATTCTAGTTTTGTAGGCTAAACATAGGACTCTACTGACCAGCTAATAAACTTAGTAAAATACAAAAACAACTCCAACAAACTAAAAAAAGGACTCTACTGACGAGCAAGTTTAATATCTAGATAAAAAAATTAGCAAAAAGTGGACTTTACTAATTATAATTTTGAAGGCTACACATAGGACTCTACTGACCAGCAAATTAAAAACTTGGTAAAATACAAAAACAACTCTAACAAAGTAAAAAAGGACTCTACTGACGAGCAAGCATAATATCTAGATAAAAAAAATTAGAAAAAAGTGGACTTTACTAATTATAGTTTTGGAGGCTAAACATAGGACTCTACTGGCGAGCAATTTGAAAATAAAATTTAAAAAGAGTCTACTGTAAAATGAATTAAAAAGAATAAAAGATAAGGGGGTATTGAAAAATTAAATCAATAACAAAACCAATATACCAAAACAAAGTCTACTGACGAGCAAAATGTTAAATTTTTGCTGTTTTTCTATAAATCAAACATTTATCATAGGCCTCTAATATTTTACCTTGTTATTTCAGACTGCAAAGTTTTATCAAAATCTACAAAACAAAATTAATTAAATTTTCAAAACTAAACTTTCAAATACAAATTGTAAGCTTAGATTTAGTGCTAAATATTTCAGTAAAATGCAGTTTGTCGTTAAAACTATATATAACAAGTATAATGTAAATTTCATAAGCTATAGCTTCATAAACTAAATGTAAATTTCATAAGCTTTCATAAACTATATATAGTTTTATCTAAAACTATATTTATGTGTATGCTATAGTTTTGTTGTAAAATTAAATAGTTATTGATTTGTTAACATATTAATAATTTGTATCATTAATAATTACCTTAATTCAGCATTCAGCAGTATTATGATTCCATCCCACTTCTGTCAAATATGCGATTCAATTTATTATATTATAATATTGTCTAAAAAAAGAACTGTACTAACGAACAAAATATAAACAAAACGAACATTAGATACGTCGCCAAGAAGATTCCTGTGCCAGACGATTCAGGATGACTCAAAATATATAATATATATATATAATATAATTATAAATAATTATAAAAAAAAATAGAAAAAAGGAAAGAACTATGCTGACGGGCAAATTAAAAACAAATGGGAAAAAGATCTCCATCTACGAGCAGATTAAAAAAAATAAAAAAAGGTCTTTGCTAGGAAAAGAACTCTACTGACAAGCAAATTAAAAAAAAAATAAGGAAAGGGACTCTACTGACAAGCAAATTCAGCAAAAATAGAAAAAAGAACTCTACTGACTAATTATAAAAAGATAGGAAAAAGGACTCTACTGACGAGCAAACTCATAAAAATTAGGAGCAAAAGAACACTACTGACGAGCAACTTAAAAAAAAAAAATGGAAAAAAAGGGACTCTATTAAAAGAGCAAATTTAAAAAAAAAGGGGGGGCTCTACTGACGAGCAAACTCAAAAAATAAATGGAATAAGGACTCTACTGACAAGCAAACTGAAAATAAAAAGGGAAGAGACTCTACTGCCAATAAAATATATTTTAGAAAAAGATAAAACTTCAATTATTTCTGAAAAAAGAACTTTACTAACGAGTAAATTTAGAAAAAAAACAAATTGGAATATTAAATTTACAGAAGGACTCTGCTGACAAGCAAATTTAAAAAAAAATAGGAAAAGGGACGAGTAAACTAAGAATATAGAAAATGGAACTCTACTGACCAAAAAATTAAAGAAAAAGTAGAGAAAAGAACTCTACTGACGAGCAAACTAAAAAAAACTAGGAAAAAGGACTCTACTGACGAGCAAATTAAAAAAGAATAGGAAAAGGGACTCTACAGACAAGCAAATTCATAAATAAAAAATAGGAAAAAACTCTACTAGCAAACAAACAAATTTACAAAAAATGAGAAAAAAACTACTAAACAGCAAAGGAAAATGGACTCCTGACGATAAAATTTACAAAAAAAAAATAGAAAAAAGGACTCTACTGACGAGTAAATTCAAAGCAAAATAGGAGAAAGGACTCTGCTGACGAGCAAATTCAAAAAAATGAAAAAATTACTAACTAGCAAATTCAGAGAAAAATGACTACTGACGAGGACACTAAAAATAAAAAATGGGACTCTACTGACGAGCAAATTCAAGAATAAATGGAAAAGGTTAGGAGTCGCTTTTTAAAGTTAGGAGCAAATTGCTAAAAGAAATTAATTTTGCAAAAGGGACTCTACTGACGAGCAAGTGGAGTAAAATGTTATATTAGAAAATCTTAAATCACATTTAGAAAAAATCACTTTCCGCAGGCCAATAATATTTTCAGAGTTCGATTTCTCTAATCGACAGTTTATTCATTTCACCAAACAATTAGAAATGATATATCCTTTGAAAAACTAACAAAAACCATTTCGACATAATATTTAGAAACACTTTCCCACAGGCCTTTAATATTTTACAACTGCAATTTCTCTCATCAACATTTTATTCATTTCACCAAACGATTCAAAATGACAAGTCCTTCAAAAAAACAATTTCGGTATAATTTTTAAAAACACTAAAATCACTTTCCCAAAGGCCTATAATATATTTTCTACTGACGAGCAAATTGAATAAAAAAAGGAAAAGGGAATCTACTGACGAGCAAATTTGAAAATAAATAGAAAAATGACAACTGACAAGTGAATTAAAAAAAAAATAGGAAAAACGATCTACTGACGAGCAAATTCAGAAAAAAATGGAAAAGGTTAGCAGCCGCAGACTCTACTGACGAGCAAATTTAATATAGATTAAAAAAGGACAAACGGAAAATAAAAAAGGAGCAAACTGAAAGTAAAAGAAAAAGGGACTCTACTGACGATCAAATTAAAAAAATAGAAAAAAGGACTCTACTGACGATCAAATTTAAAAAAAAGTAGGAAAAAGGTCTCTTCTGATGAGCAAACTTATCATAAGAAAAATAGAAAGAAACTCTACTGACGAGCAAACTAAAAGTAAAAGATAAATAAACCCTGCTGACCAACAAATTCGGAAAAATTAGGAAAATAGACTCTACTGACGAGCCAAGACGGAAAAAATAAGAAAAGGGACTCTACTGACGAGCAAACTGAAAAAAAAAATTGAGGCAACAGGACTCTACCAACAAGCAAACTAAAAAAAATTAAGTACAATAAAAAAAATGGAAAAAGGACTCTACTGACAAGTAAATTCTGAAAAACAAAGAAAAAATGACTAAAAAATAGAATATTAATTTAAAAAAAAAGAATTCTACTGACGAGTAAAGTCCAGAAAAAACAGACACTATTCGAATTAAATTTTGGCTTTTAACACTATTTATTTATTTTCAGGGTCAAACGATTCAAAATGATATCTCATTCAAAAAAAGTAGCAAAAACAATCTCGATATAATTTTTAGGAACACTAAAACCACTTTCCCACAGGTTATAATTTTTAGAACACCAAAAAATCATTTTTCCATAAGCCTATAATATTTTACAGCACCGACTTATACCATCAATCAAGTTTATTTTTTTCAAACCATTCAAAATAACAAATCCTTCGAAAACAACCTCAACATAATTTTCAAAAAACACTTTCCCACAGGCCTATAATATTTTACAACCGCAATTCTTCGAGTTCATTCAATTCCATTCCACCAACTTCATATATTACATGTATTTATTTAAAAAAAATTTAATAACATAACAAACAGTAAAAAACATGTACATTAAAATTTTATTACAAAAATATTATCTGCCATCAGCTCTCTAACTAATATTTACCGGTTTAGAGGTTTACTCACAACTATCGAGTCCTTTACTAAATTGAAAACCATTCTATTTGTTTATCTCTATCTTTTTCATGTGCATGTTGAAAGAAAATCGAATCGCGAATCGGATAATAAATTAATAATAATAATTAGTTTGTAGTTTAAATTCTGAATTTTTTTAATTAATTAATTATTTAAATAAATGAATTTTGTTATCGACTAACTAACTAAACAGCTGCTCCGTCGCCCTCTCCAGTTCCCAGTTGTAGGAGGATAGTGCCACTCGGGCCTGGTGCTCCTCGATGCCCATGTCGATGAGGCGCTGGATTTTGGTGTTGCAGTCGGAGAACACATGAGGACCTGAAAGAAAGAAAAATGAGACTAAGTTTGTTTTGAAGTAAAACTTCTGAGGTGACTTTCAAATAATAAGGTTGTATGGTTTAGTTGAAAAGAAATGTTGGTCGATCGATTGAGTTTTTTTTGGATTTGAAT